AAGTGATTTGCCGAGTGCTGCGCTAAAAACACTCGGTAAAAAAAACACTCGGCAAAATAGGGGGTTTACCGAGTGTAAAAAAAAACACTCGGCAAAGAGCAGGTTTGCCGAGTGTCAAAAAAAACACTCGGTAAAAAATAAAATATTTTTTCTGGAAAAGAAGAAGAAGAAAAAAAATAAAAAAAAATCTTTGCCGAGGGCTAGATATACGACACTCGGCAAAGAAATATAAAATATTTTTCTGGAAAAGGAGAAGAAAAAAAATAAAAAAAATCTTTGCCGAGTGCTAGATCTGCAACACTCGACAAAGAAATATAAAATCTTTTTCTGAAAAAAAGGAGAAGAAAAAAATTAAAAAAAAACATTTGTCGAATGCTAGATCTACAACACTCGGCAAAAAAAAATTTCCCTAGAAATAAAAGCCGCACACCGCCCCCTCGGTCACCCCGCACACCGCGCCCTCCGTCACCCCGCACGCCACGCGCCCCTCCCTCCCTCCCCTCCCACCTCCCCTCTCCCTCCTCCTCCTCTAGCGCCCTCACCTCCTCCCTCTCCGGCTCGGATCCGACGCGGCCCCGCCCTCCTCCCTCTCCGGCGCGCCCCCCTCCTCCTCCCTCTTCGGCCTGGATCGAGCGCGCTCACTTCCTCTCCCACACCGAGCGGCGTGCAGCCTCCACTCCCTCCCCACAGCGGTGGCGCTCGCCCTCTCTCCCTCCACAGCGGCGGCGCTCGCCCTCTCCGCCCCCACAGCGGCGGTGGGCACCCTGGCAAGGAGGAGGCCCGGCCTCGGTGAGGAGGTGCCCTAGTGGAGAGTGCCCTGGTGAGGAGCCTCGGCCCTGCGACGAGGAGCCCCGACGGGTGCCCTGGCAAGGAGGATCCTCGGTGGCCTCCCCGGCGGCCCAGAGCCCGGATCCGGCCTCAGCTCTCTCTCCCTCCCCTCCCTCCCCACAGCGCCGCCCTCCAGCGGTGGATCCAGAGCTCCCGGTGGCGAATCCAGAGTGGTGCCTCCTTCCTCCGACGGCGGTTCCAGGGCGGTGGCACCCGTCGGCGGTGGATCCAGGGCGCCGGCGCCCCCCCCGGTGGCGGATCCAGGGCGCTGGTGGATCCAACGAGCGGCGGTGGCAGGCCAGCGCTGGTGCTAGCGGGGTGGCCGGATCTGGCGGCACCCTTTCTTCCTCCGGCGGCACCCTCTCTTCTCTCTCCCTCCGGTGGTGGAGCTGCGCGGGGAGGCTAGATCCGGTGGCGGCGGTGGCGGGCCAGCACCGGTGCGAGCGGGGTGGCCGGATCTGGCGGCGCCCTTTCTTCCTCCGGCGACACCCTCTCTTCTCTCTCCCTCAAGTGGTGGCGCGGCGTGGGGAGGCTGGATCCGGTGGCGGCGGTGGCGGGCCAGCGCCGGTGCTAGCGAGGTGGCCAGATCCGGCGGCGCCCTTTCTTCCTCCAGTGGCTGATGCTTTTTTTATTTTTTTCAAAAAATGTTTGCCGAGTGTTTTTGGGAGCACTCGGCAAAGTCTTCGCCGAGTGCCCGACGAAAAACTCTCGGCAAAACAGCGTTTGCCGATAAACCAGTTGCCGAGTGTAACACTCGGCAAATGGTTTGCCGAGTGTAACACTCGGCAAATGGTTTGCCGAGTGTTTTTGAGGCTTCGCCGAGTGCCCCTGGCACTCGACAAAGTTGCTGAATCCGGTAGATCCTACCTGCCTACTATACTACTCCTACAGTAAGGGCCTGTTGGGTTTTCTCCTGCTAAACTTTAGTCACTTTATCTACTAAACTGTCAAACAAACTGATTAAAAATGGGCTAAAGTAGTTTAGTCGCATTAGTACCCCAAGAAAGTGCCCAGTGGATAAGGGCCGCCCCTCATTATTGCTTGCCCTCCACCCTGATTTGTGTATTCATTAGGGGTTGTTTGATCTTTGTTGAACTGCTTTAATAGCCTCTAGTCACTAGAACCAAATATGGATAACTAAAGTTTAATTAATTGGTTTTAGTAGCTAAATTTTAGTGATGAGAAATAGTCAGGGCCTAAGTAGTAGGAGTCGTAAAGTAATTAACCCAATTATACTAATACGTAAGTCAACACTCGCCCGGCCCGGCCCTGGCCCCGGCCCCGGCCCTTCATCTTTTTTCTCTCTCTCTCTTCCTACCTTGACTTGGAAATGGAAACACACACTAGCTAGCTAGCATAGCAGAATATAGGACTGCCTAGCTGACACTTCAAAGCGCTTCAATGCCTGCTAGCGGCTACCCTATACAGTAGTAGCTCTGGATGTGAGCTGATCGAGACACATGATTGATGTTGAGAGGCAGGCAAAAGGGTAAGGTCGGGTAGCTATAGCCATCTCCAGTGCAAGAATGCATGTGCGTGAGTTCCTTGCATGGTCACGTATGCACCATCCCTTATCAATCCATCACGAGGAAAGCGTCTCACGGGATATGCGCCATATTTCTAGCTTCCACATATATGCATGATGCATCAATTGCCATCGTCCTAGCTAGGTTCATCTATACCGTATCTCCCTCTCTTCGTTTAATTTCTACATGTATGTATGTACTACTATATGTACGTAGTAGTACCCGCAGCTTCACAGTTCAAAGTCCAAATAAACTAGCTAGCTAGGTACGTGCCAAATAATTAAAGGCCACGTATTGATCGATCGATCGATCTGGGCGCCCGCCCATGGAAAGAAATTAGGCGTGCGTACCACGTACTGACTTTTCAAGAAACAAAATTCCATCCATTGTTTTGACTTCCAAACCCTGACTTGGCTGCTGTGTGCACCAACAGCGATGTCCATCCACCTTCCTTTTGTCACACCCATGACCACGACAAGCTATTTACTACTAATGCTCTCTCCATTTCAAGTCGTAACCTGTTCTAGCTTTTCTAGAAAAATACTCCCTCCATCCATCCATAAAAAACGTAATTATGATATCTGTGCCGGTCAATTGAGCTCAAATTTAACCAACTTTATAGTAAATAGTATTAGCATTTATGTCCTTAAATATATTTATTGTGAAAATATATTATATAACTAATTTAATGATACTTATTTTGTATAAAAAATGTTTATATTTTTTTATATAGATTTAGTCAAAGTTCGGATTGTTTGACTCCTCAAAATCCGAAAATTGCATTATTTTGTGGACGCATGTAGTAGCTTTTGTTAATTACACACATAGATATATATTATGTCTAGATATGTAGTAAAACCTATATATGTATTTACAAAAATCAAAATGACTTTTAGTTTACAACAGGGGGAGTAACTATAATAGGGGAGCTACATACTTTCTCATAAGTATACATAGTGCAAACAACCAAAAGCGCCAAAGTCCCATCGGATCTCCTTTTTCCCCTCAAGCTTTTTCACCTGAAGAGGGCAACTTATACTCTTTGAGCTGCTCATCTTTTTTCATTGGCTTAAGCTTTCGGTCTAATCGGTGCATGTATACAACTTACAGTTTGACCTAAACGGTCCATTAAATGGTTTGACCCCATTAATTGATTTGACTGTTTGAACAACCAACAATAGGGAAAACAACTTAAATAGAACGGAGGTAAATATGATAATTAGATTAGATGATCTAAAAGGCTTTTTATATGATAGGAGAATGAGATTTCAACCACCACAACATTGGCATGCCACAAATTGACATAGTAAATATACGAGGGAGACTGAGATTTAATAATTTCCTTCACAGAAAATTTTTACTCGCTAAAATACTTTATTTTGGACATGCATAAATATGTGTATGATATACTATCCCACTGAATGAGCCTAACCCTCCTTAGTCGGAGAACACTAACTCAGTGGCACAGCACTAACCTTGTCGAAACAGCGGTTTAATTTGTTAGAATAAACCACGACACATAGTGCCCATGGCGTGTGCGTCACTGTGCCGCGTCGTGGTGGTGTCGTGCGTGTTGTGTCCGTGTCCGTGCCATTGCAGGCGAGCTGCGGTGCGAGGCTGGGTGTAGGGCTTGTCCAGGGCGCGTTGTGTTGCGGTCGGGCATGCCATGGTCGAGCTGGACTCTAGTCGATGTGCATGGAAGTTGCCAGGACCCGTTCAGTGCTTGGCTATTTTAGGAGTTCGTGGTGTGCATCTAGCCGGTCAGCATGGAGGAAGCCGCAGTCCAGGACGAGCGAATGGCTCCCTGGTGTCGCTGAGCGGGTCGTGCTGATCATGGCGTAAAGATCGGGTGAGTGGAAGGCGAGCTCCGTGGTGCGTCCCCTGGTTGTTAAATACGCCAAGTACTCCTCGTTTCAGAGTGGCCAAGTACAGAGAAATAAAAAGTGCCAAGATACAGGCCGTTGTGTCGGCCGCGGCGTTCGTCGCCAGAAACAACTTGTGTTCATCGTCTCCCTCGCCGGTGCTTTGTGTTCGTGAGTGCGAGTGAGTTCCTGGTCGTAGCTATCATAATTGGCAGAGGTGTAGTTATCAGTTGCATTTTAAGTCAAGTCAGCTACATAAGTGCTTTGTTAGGGTGAGAATTGATGGATGGAGACACAAACACTTGCACCATTACGTTGCACCATCATCCCATCCATTACAGTATTGTATATAGAGGTAGTAGTACTTAGTAATTAGAGAATTGCTATTTTTCAGCTGTCTGAATTTTCAGACAATAATTTTACACAACCAACTTGTACAATTAAAGCAAACTCACAAGGGATAATTTATATTATTTTATAGTCAGACAATAACAAAATTACATGTTATCTAACACAACAATGAAAAATCAGACACCTTAGATATGGGAGTCTCGTTCGGCTGATCCAGTCTGTGGAGGGTGTTCGGCTGATTTCGGCTGATTCAATAGTGTTCTGTGAGAGAGAATAAGCTGAAACAAGTTGAGATTAGACAACCAGAACAACAGACTGATGAGAATAGTATGTCAGTTTCTTGTGTAATCTTTTGCATTGGCATTTAGCACAAGTCATTTGAACTTATGGCATTGCATTGTTCTCTCTAAATTTGCATGCATGTTGGTTGCAGTCGTTTCTGCTTGGGAACGGCGGCGGCGTGAAGCAGCACCGATGGCCTCCTCACCACGTCCCCTCACCTGAAGCGGACCTCGTGCCCATACCCTTCAGCTGCGGCAACGGCACTGGGTCGCCGGGGACATGCCGCCGCCGTGACACGACGACAGTACAATCCCCCTCTCCGTCGCCGTCATTGTAACCAGTAGCGTCGTCGACGTCGTCCTCCAAATCAGCATCGAAATCCGCCCCTCCTCCTCAGTGCCCGGAGTACTTCCGGTACATCCACTCCGACCTGTCGCCATGGCGCGAGACGGGGATCACGCGCGAGGCGGTGGAGCGGGGGCGCGACCGGGCGGCGTTCCGGCTGGTGGTCGTGGATGGCCGCGCGTACGTGGAGACGTACCACCGCGTGTTCCAGACGCGGGACACCTTCACGCAGTGGGGCATCGCGCAGCTGCTGGCGCGCTACCCCGGCCGCGTACCGGACTTGGACCTCATGTTCAACTGCGAGGACATGCCGGAGGTGCGCGCCGCCGACTTCGCTGCCGCGCCGTTGCATGCGCCGCCGCTGTTCCGGTACTGCAAGGACGACTCGACGCTGGACATCGTGTTCCCGGACTGGTCCTTCTGGGGGTGGCCCGAGGTGAACATCCGGCCCTGGGCGCCGCTGCTGGAGGAGATGGCGGCCGAGACGGCGCGGCTGCCGTGGGCGGAGCGGGAGCCGTACGCGTACTGGAAGGGCAACCCCAGCGTATCGGGGGAGCGCGGCGACCTCCTCCGGTGCAACGACTCATCGGGGGAATGGAGGACGCGCGTGTTCTGGCAGGACTGGGGCGCCGCCATCCGGGACGGCTTCCGGGACTCCAACCTGGCGAAGCAGTGCCGATACAGGTACAAGATCTACGTGCGTGGGCGGTCGTGGTCGGTGAGCCAGAAGTACATACTCGCCTGCGACTCGCCGCTGCTCCTCGTCGCCACCCCCTTCAAGGACTTTTTCTCCCGGGGCCTCGTCGCCGGCAAGCACTACTGGCCTATCGAACCCGGCGCCCGCAAGTGCGCCGACATCAAGTTCGCCGTCGACTGGGGCAACGCGCACCCGGAGCAGGCGCGCCGGATGGCCGAGGAAGGCAGCGGATTCGCGCGTCACGACCTCAGCATGGACTACGTCTACGACTACATGCTGCACCTGCTCACCCAGTACGCCGGCCTACTCCGCTACAAGCCCACCGTGCCGGAGAACGCCGTCGAGCTGTGCGCCGAGACTGTCGCGTGCCACTCTGCCGCGCACGCTAATAACAGGGAATTCGACTTCATGATGGAGTCCAGGGAGAGGTACGTCGCCGACTACCAGCCATGCACGCTGCCACCGCCCTTCACCGCCGATGAGGTGAGGGAGATGACACGAAGAGACCAGGAGGTGCGCGCCAACGTGCACAAGATGATGACCACCATGACTCCATGACGACCTGATGATCAGCTAGATAGATAGCTGACGTCGTCCTTAACTCCTTACTATACGAAATACGATACGATACGACTCCACGCACGTCACCAAGCTCCACGTCCACAACATTCATGGTCCAGTCATGGATTCTGTACTATTTTTTCATTTTACTATTCTCTATTCTCTATTCTCTATATATCTATACATTTTTGGATATCCAAAATTCTTTATAGTCGTACGTATAGATGATGAGATTATAGCCCCTTTGGCACGACTCATCCAAAACGGCTTCACCGGTGAAGCCAAAGCCGGTGAAGCCAGAAAAACTGGCTTTTCTCGGCTTCTAGTTCATTTTAACTCCGGCTTATAAAACGGCTTCACGCTACATTTCCTCGATTTACGTAAAATAGATGAAGCCGAAGCCAGCATAAGCCATGCCAAAGAGGCCCTATATATGACAGCATTGGCCCACTGCATGGGGACTGGGAAACAGAAACTTGTTATATACTCAATACTAGTGTTCAAAATAATTAATCTTATAATCTTACAACACATCGGCTGTATTTATTTATTTTTCCAACATGTAACTATTAATAAAAGGGTTCAATTTTCAAACTCTATTCAAATTTACACGTTTTTGTAATACATGGCACTGATGTGTAGGCATGAGGCACATGGGCCAGCAATTTTGGCCCAGCACAGGCATGGCACGAGCCTATGCTAATCGTGTACAGCATGCTTGGGAGTGTCTGGCCAGGTGGTGTTGGGACCACTAGGCCAGAGTTTTCATGGGCTGTTGAGGGAAAATTAGAAGTAGTAATTGCTTTGTTTAGGGCTGGATCAAGGGGTGGAGCCCCAAGCCCTAGGTGCAAACCCGCCCTGCATATGTATACAATTCTTCGACCCTCAAATCCTAGCTTCTTCATTCTTCCCTACCGCCGCCATCCCGGCCAGCTGCACGCTGCTCCTGCTGCTTGCTGCTGCACCACACTTGCCAGTAGCCTGCTGCCTTGCTTGTTGCTGCACCGCACTTGCCAGCAGCCTGCTGCCTTGCTTGCTGCTGAAAGTCTCCTACTTGGTCAATGCATTCACACGAACAACCTTGCATGCCACACCTTCCTGCTCCTTGCACGCACTCGTGTCCCAGCACCCTACGCCCAGCCTCCTCTTCACTCCTTGACATGCTGCAAGAAACAGAGACACCGTCCGCCATGCTCGTACTTTATCTCCAAGCATGAGCTCACAGCTCACCATGCTCCTTGTGATCATCTCCAACGGCACCCTCGCAGCCTCCGTCATGCGTGCTCACTCACACGCAACCTTGCTGCAACAGCTGCGCCTCCCACGTCGCCATCTCCCAGACAACAACATCCGCATCTTGCCGCAGGCCCTGTAGAGAGTGGTCCACCTGCACGTTCAGGCTCTGTCGTGACAACGATGCCCTCACACACCTCCTGTGCACAAGACATGCTGCACCATGGCCACACATCACCGACACCCTCTGCTCGTTGTATCGTGCCGCCGCCCATGTGCAACACCCGGTCACACCACCACCACTATGGTGCTCCCGCACTCCGACCGATCCGGCTCCCACCACGTCTGGCCCTGTCGGTCTGGATCGCGAGCCAAGGCCGACGCTCCCCATGCCGCCTTCACCGGCCACTGTGTCGGTCCGACTGCCATGCTGGTCGATCCTCACCAACTGACGGTCTAGGCCTCCTACCTAGAGTGTCCAACACCACCGACCGGAGCACCGGTCGCTGCCATGCTCCACCCTGAGCAGCACCGCAGCACCCGTCGAGCATGATCTTGGAGCCTCCACCTCTTCCCTCGCCTCCTAAGATCCTCAAAACAACCATACAACTCCGATACCAATTGTTGTGATATCGGCGCCTAACATGAATTGATTGCTTGGATCTACCTAGACGAGATGCTCACGAGAGATCGCACACAACGCACAAGAGATTTGATGTTTGGTAACGAGGTTCGGCCGAAGCCTATGTCCCCAGTGCATGCTTATGGGCGCTCCTCTCCGATACCACGACACCGGCTACTCGGGGCACTGGCCAAAGCTGCCAGCACCCCTCGCGAGCCTGTCACTACGTGTTGCTTCTCACTCTCATGATGGGAGTGGGTTACAAGTGCAGCCCCCTCCTCCTTCTATAGAGGGATCAGGTTACAAGAGCCAACACCTAGCTCACCTAAACCTATAATGCTAATTACAACATAAGTCTACTGTAACCCCATTAGTACAAATAAATATTCGACATATTTTTAACATCTATGAAATTTATGGCCTGTTCCCACCGTATGTTACTACATGTTATGCAAATGCACAAAAACCGTGGAGATGGTCGCCAAGGAAGGCAGTTTCCTCAAGTTGGCTGTTTTTTTTCTTGAAACAATAAGTTGGCTGTTGAAAGGCGAAAGGGAGCTCGGCCAGCTCAGCAAGGCCTAGGTGCAAACCCGCCCAACATATGTATATAATTCTTCGCCCCTCAAATCCTAGCTTCTTCGTTCTTCCCTACCGCCGCCATCCCAGCTACACTCTCTTTTCCCTTCCATGTAGGTTAGTAGCGTGGCTCCGCTCGGTGGTGCGGCCTCAACGAACTCGCGTGGTGGTGTGGCCGGCCATTGCAAAGGCGGTAGCGGCATCCTCCTCTTGGATTTGATTCATTTTTTTTACATAGGATTTGATTTGACTTTGTGTGTGTATGAACAATGAATGTGAAGGATGAATTTTCATGATCAAAGATTCCTCTTGATTTCGTGTTTTGTTGAGCTAGTCGGGCTAGCATGACCCATTGGGCCCATTAGGATGGCATGGATAACCCAACATACCGTTGTGCCGGCCCAACCTCAGGTGGTCCGTGCCTTATTGGGCCTATTCCGGGCCACCCATTTTTGGCCATCTATACCAATATGACCAAATCTAATACCTTTTGCATTTTAGGAAAATTAGGAAATGTTAACTTCTTTCACTCTCGCCATATCTATAAACCAAATATATTTTGGCACATATATGCATCTTAGATTTCCTTCATGTTCCCTCCATTTCAAATTATAAGACATTTTAGTTTGTCTAGATACATAACTTTTACTATGCACTTAGATTTATACTATGTCCAGATACATTGTAAAAGCAATATATCTAGAAAGGCCAAAATATTTTATAATTTGGAATGGAGGGAGTATATGCTTAATCAATATTCTATTTTTTTACAAGGACATGGTTCCAAAACTTTGGAAATTAGTAAATAACTTTAAACAATGCTACCCATCAGTTTTTAAATTATTACACTATTGATTTTTTCCATTTATTTGCATCTTTTGTAAATACTAGGTTTGTGGACGTGGGTTGCAGCGGGGAGCTGAAAATTTGTTACAAGCTAACTCGCTGTGAATCAGCGTCAAGCTTCCCAAGGAGGCCATCGATGAGGATGGACATGTGTCGGTGTTTCGTACAAGCACCGGCAAGTAAATTTATAGTAATGCGCGTTAGGCTCGGATGGTGCGCTAAAGGACACAAGATTTATACTGGTTCGGGCCGAAAGTTCCTACGTCCAGTTTGTTGTTGCTCGTGTTATTAACACCGTGAACGGTTTGTAGTAAGGGGTACAAACGATCGAGAGAGGGACTGGTCCCAAGTCTCTGATGGAAGGATTGAAGGGATGTCAAGAGGTTCGACACAACTTGACTGTGTGTATCTGTCTGTCGTTTTTGTTCGGTCTTTTTCTCCCTCCCTTTTTATGGAGGAAGCGCATCCCCTTTTATAGATGAAGGGGCTGGCTTTACAAGGGTGAGGGCATTAGGATGCGTACTCTACTTAGTCTTGTGGCTCACGTCTACCCGGCCTGGTTCTTCATTCTGATGAGTGCGAAGGAAGATAAGCGCCTACACATCTGTCGATGTCTCTCAGAGAATGTCGGGTTGGTTCTGAGAATGCTACCGCGCAGGTATGGGCCATGATATAGTGGTTTTGAGTTTTGAGCCTCCCCTAGCCTTGCTCCGCACGCATATACGGTTCCTATGAGTCTTAAATCGGAGGGACTTGGGGTTGGGGTCGGGGTCGGGTGCAGAGTAGCGCCGTGGCCAAGGTCTTGTCTTGGTGGACTGAGGGGTCGGGAAGCGGGCGTCGCTCCCTTAGGTCCATAGCGTGGTGACGGAATATCCGTCGTTCGTGGAGATAGCAAATCCTTTTCTGGAGCGTAGCGGTTGTCGTATATCTTCGTCGGGTTCCGTGTCCCAGAGCTGAAGGCGGCGCCTACAACTCTACAGGGTGGAGAGCTCGCACCTGTAACACCTTTCGGACTCTGCGGCGCCTAGAAGGGCCTAAAGCACCCGTCCCGTCATCCCCTGACAGTACTTTTCCTGCCAGGGTGCAGGGTATGGTTCTTGGAGCCACGGTTGACCTGAACGTCTTGTCTTGCCCTGTCTCTATCATCTTGAGGGAACAGGGAGAAGTGGTCAGGTAAGATGAATCCAATCTTTAGATATGGAGCAGAGTGAGGCTTGTTCCTTGCCGTCGGGCGAAGCGGAGACCAATCCCTATCTCCTAGGCGAGACCGACCCTGCTCCTCCGGGGTCGGGCGAGGCGGAGTCTATCCCTCAGCCCTCGGGCGAGACCGAGCCCGCCCTAAAGGCGTCGGGCGAGACGGAGACTAGCCCTGTGCCCTCGGGCGAGGCAGAGCCACATCAAAGGCGTCAGGCGAGTCGGGGTTTATCCCTCGGCCTTTGGACGAGATCGAGCCTGTCCAAAAGGCGTCGGGCGAGACGGAGACTAATCCTCGGCCCTCGGGCGAGACCGAGCCCACCCCAAAGGCGTCGGGAGAGATGGAACCAAGCTCCTATCATTCCCGTGAGGGGTGAAGCAACGCTCTTATGCGTCCAGAAGTTTTTAACGTTCGGTGGTTATTGGTTCCACCTTCTGGGGTACCCCGGTATTAGGTCCCCGACAGTAGCCCCCGAGCCTCTAGGTGATTCGAGTAGAACCGCCTGGAGGGTGTTTTTTGATTTCG